AACATTCTTTCGTGTGCCATTACGCGTCACTTTTGTGCACTAAAAATTTCGAGGCTATGTCACCTTGTCCGTTTATCAATAGCATTAACATAATTGTGACAGGTTTAAATTATTTCAGTATTTTCGCACATTCAGGGGCCAAATGATAGCTCTAATCATACCCCATCTTTTATATTTCTAATGCAGAAAAGCAATACATAATTAGAATTATAAGAAATAGCAGCTATACATTTCAGATACCTAAATATACATTAACAATCAGCAATCTGTTTAAACTGATTCTAATTTGATAGGAGGCAGTGATAAATAACTTGTTTTCCATTGTTTATAAATTTAGGCTGAAGTCTCAAATAACTGTTGTTCAATTTACGATACAGGCACCTAATTCTGACACATCAATCAAATATTGAGAAAAGTTCTTGAATTAATATCAATTGAAACAATAATCGTGTCTTAACTAATCAATGGAACCTCAACAGAGAAAGAAGAGGAACTCTTTTGTCACACAAAGTTAAATAAAAAGCAGGAATATTTCGATTGTTCAAATGTATCATTTTATTTAAGGCTTTCGTTATTTACAACAACTACTGATATGAAAGATAATATTACTAGCAACTAATTCTGGTGAACTGTTGAAGATTCTTTTTTACTCCAGTTCATGGATGAACAGAACAACTTTCGTAGAAAACAGAAACAACAAATGGCAAGAAAATTATCAACTTGTGACAATTGGATAGTCAGGTGTCGAAATAAAGAGAATATCATGGCATAGGTCAAACGCAACAGGGTATACAAATGCACAAATAAAGGAAAGATCAATGTGTAAATTGACGAGAAAATAAGAAATGTAGACCAATAAATAAATAATGTAAAAAAAAAAAACAAAAAAAAAATTAAAACTAAAACTCGACCTAAGACTAATTCAACAATAAAAGTCAGATTGACATCGTTGCTTTCCACTTCTGATATCCATTGCGAATAGGATGGCTTTGTTAATTGGGATAATTTATTTCTGTTAATAACCAACAACCAGTTTTAACTTTGTTACTGTCTATTAATTTCTAATCATATTCTTTACTGAAGTCTTCAGTTATTTAATTAAAAAAAACTCTGTAAACAACAATCAAATCTAGAGCAACAATTATGTTGATATAATTGTTATATACTTAGATATACTTGATGTAACTATCATTCATATCATATTTCTAAAAGCTTTTGAATCCAGTTTTTCGACAACAATATGTATTTACTTTGCATGATCTTTGATTGCAATCAACACTTCATTTTAAAAATCCAAAAGAGTAAGCTTCAAATGCGGAAAGGTCTAGACAACAGTTCGGGATTTTCATACGCATATTTATCTTAACACATGCTCCTTGGTTTCGAATTTTAGACAGGTCAATTAAAAAAGCAGAAGTATAATAGAGATTAACCTCACTTATTTGATAAAGATCGAAAGATCACCAGACTCACCAGTGACGCTCGAATCAAAAAACGTTAAAAGTCAAAGTCAAGTACGAAGGTGTGGAGCATTGTAAGAGAGAACGAGGCGAATCCATAATAGTGTTTCGATTTTATTTTTGATAAGCAAGGTTGATCTATTTTATCCTTTTACTTCTTCAGTTTACCGGTCAAAGATTCGAATACCAATGATCTCGTCTTAAAGTAATCTACACATGTAAAAACCGACATGTTGTCCTCCACAATTAAGGCTAACTCTTTTGGATTTTAAACACATGATAAACACAATGATGTCTTAATTGCAATTATCAAAGAATACTGAATGTAATGGCACATTGTTGCAGAAATACTTGATGCAAGAGCTTTTAGAAAAATGATATGAATTATTACTACATCAATATAAAAATAAGAAGATGTGGTATGATTGCCAATGAGACAACACTGCACAAGAGACCAAATGACACAGAAATTAACAACTATAGGTCACCGTACGGCCTTCAACAATGAGTAAAACCCAGACCGCATATAGTCAGCTATAAAAGGCCCCGAAATGACAAACGTAAAACAATTCTAACGGCCTGATTTATGTACAAAATAATGAACGAAAAACAAAAATGATATACAGCAACAAACGACAACCACTGAATTACAGGCTCCTGACTTGGGAAAGGCACACACAAAATGTGGCAGGGTTAAACCAGCATATCTAAGTATACAACAATAATATCAGCATAATTGTTTCTCTAGATTTGATTTGTTCATTGAAACCCAAAAATCATACAAAACAAATCTTTATGTTTATATAAACCCACTCCGAAGCTTAATTAAAATAATCTTAAGCTATCCAAAAATGTATTTTATTTAACAATAACAATATTTGAAAAATCTACCGTGACCAAAATACGAAACCAAACTCTTAACTGTGCATTGCTACTTTATATGAAGTATAATATGATTTCCGAAAACAAACCTGGTAGGGGTTAATGCATTTCCGCATATTGACAACCCGTTTCCTTACCATTGCATTGCAATCTTATAATTACTGCTGTAATTAACAAGTTTAACTTAATTATCCCGGAGAAGATACTCATTTTTATCTCATTAATTTGTAATTATTGTATAAATGGATTAAGTAATTGGCACAATTCGTTACGTATGTACATGTAAGTTTATTGTACTCTGATAATGTTGATGTTAAACAATTATGACTTTTGATGAGTTTGAAACTATGATTTATCAACCCCAACGATATAATTTTCAATTTATTGAAGCTTACACGTTTGAATTTGAAAAATCTTTTTTTTTTTAAATGGAATGTTCATTGCAATAGTCAAAGGTCATTTAATGTAATGGCATATTGTTTCCTATATACTGGATTCAAGGGCTGTAAGAAATAAGACATGAAGTCACGTATATCTAAGTATATGATGGTTATATCAACATAATTGTTGCTTTAGATTTGTGTTTACAGAAGTATGTGCTTGTCTTGCAAATTAAACAACTGAAGACTTCAATTAATATCGGATGTGGAAACCAACAGATATCAATCCGATTTGTATTGTTAATAATTTTTTGTCCAAAAATTGTTTTCATTGTTAGTGTTTGTCTACTCTTTTTATTTTCTCGTCATATTACATATTATACTTGAAATCATTCGTTTGTTTGTATATCTTGTAGCATTTGACATTTGTAGTGAAATTCGGGGTATTTGGACACCTGACAATCTTATTGTCACAGATTCGGTAATCGTCTTGCTAATTATTATTGTTTTCTAATAATCTGAAGTAAACAAAATCCTTCAAAAGTTCATGATGCTTATATGTCGGTGACGTTATTTTTCATCAGCAAGTAAAATAAAACCGTTTGGAATGGTATATAGCAAAAATCGAAACAATAACTTATTAATATGTTGATTTAACTTCGTATGACAAAAGTATTCTCATTCACTTCCTGTGATAAGTCTAGTCACTATAATAGATGAAAGTTATTCAAGAAATACATGTATATCTATTAATCAAAATAATTGAATCTCAACATTTGATTAGTTTATCAGATGTAGGTGTTAGTTTGGCTAAGAACTGATGACTTCATTAATCAAGTTAATAATTTTGAGGCCGAGTTTTAGTTTAAGTTGTTATTGTTGTGTCTACATTTCATAATTTCTTCGATTTACACACTTATCTCTTTTGATTACTCTTTAATTTGTACTGCCTGTTGCATTTAACTTGCCTCCTTGCAATGATTATAATCTCATTATTTCGACACATGCCTATCCCATTGTTATAAATCCGACGATCTTGTTGCTAGTTGTTTATGTTGTTGATAATGATCTAAGGACCAAATCTTCGTCATTCTTGTCCTTGAATAAACAAACACATTCAAAATTCTTCATGGACTTTGTCACTAATATATGACTTATATTTGTGAGACTTGTGAGCTCATTTTTGGGCCCTATTTATTTCGAAAAATGCATACTGACGTTTCTGTATACTTGCCTTAATCAAACTTACTTATACCTTAAATCTAAATGGCCGGAGTACTTAATTTTACTATAACGTATTAATAAGGATGTGTTATTGATAAAGATATTTTGAGTTATATTCAAAGGATTTTGGTTTTTGAGTTATATTCAAAGGATTTTGATTTTAACATTCATTTCAAGTTTGCGTTTTTACGGAAAAAGAGAAAGCATGGATGACGTTATAAATACGATAAATTAGAACATATCCATGGTCATCTGTGAAACAAATATTCCATAAATACCAACCATAGCGGGATATGTTTGTGAGCGCTCAAAAGTTTTTTAAATCAGTAGAAAAAGGTGTTTGACTCATTATGTTAGCACAAAACAACCAACAAAATTACAAAAGACACAAAGTACCGACATTAGAGTATTCGCATTTACTGAAAGCTAATTCAAAGCTAATTGCAACAATTGCAACTAAAAAATTATCCGTTATTTTCCAAACTGCATTATTTATTCTTTTCCATGTATCACAGAGTTATGTAAATGGCAGATTATCAATTATGTCTTACAAGAACTGGTTTTCAATGTTACTTAAATTGAAAATTTAAGCAAACGATTTATTAAACACATATTTGTTTACATTTTATTTCAGACTATTTATACTTGTCAACATAACAACACTAACGCAGTAAATTCTTCCTTCAAGGAAAAACACAATAAAATTTGTTTTATTGAAATAGAAAAAGCGTATATTCCCACATTCTCGCGACCTATACTGTTTATAACAAAAGAATGACGAATCGTTCTGACACCGACTGTAAATAAATGTTTTCTCTAACCTTCGAATGATAATAGTCTCTTGTAAGTATCTGCTACTCTTTGTCGTCCTTTGGAAATTATGCAATAAAGTGTCAAGTTCATTTGCGTCAATCTTCATCTATTGTATCATATGTGATATTTAATGATATATAGCCTCGAACTTCCGAAACATAACAAAGGTGTATCATTTAATGTAACCGTCTGGTATATAGAATTTGACCGGATAACAATGCAATTGCATGTTTGTGTTCGTAGTACTGGCAAAACGTTCGAAATATGTCACTTTCAATTTTGTTTGTACTATATGATGTTTCTTTGTACTATATGATGTAGAAAAAAACGAAAAAAATTAGTATTGTTCCAGACTAAAGTTCCTTCAGTAAATAGAAAAGGTCAGTCATAATTTTTTATTATCTGTTGAAACAGGGTCGTCGTTTACATGGATAGTTTACACTAATATATCAACGTCTCCAGATTTTCAGGTGGACTTTTTACTTCTTTTGACAAACCGAAAATATTTATTTTTTTTTTAAATTCTTTTAACCAATATCCAATCGTCAAAGTAGAAACATCAATACATTATGCAAGTACCCTCTGAAGGACCTGAGATCACCCCCGCTTTTTTATGGGGTACGTGTTGCTCAGTCATTAGTTTTCTTTGTTGTGTTTTCCATACTGTTGTTAGTCTTTTTGACTTTTTCTTTTAATATTTGCGATGACGTTGTCAGTTATTTTCGACTTTGGATGTCCCTATGATATCTTTCGGCTATATTTTACCAAGTCTGACTAGCTGGATCATGACTGGTCCTTGTATTTTGTCTTGTTTTGTTTTTCAGAGTACTCGGGTGTTGGTGTATAGTGTGTTATGTTATACTGTGCGGTATTGATTTTTGGTGGTTTCTGTTATTTCGTATCATATATTAAACAATTAACTTTTGCATTATAAAGCAAATATTACAAACGTTATCACAAAAATTTGGTTTATGTTCCTTTCATAGTAAAATAAAATATTTATTTGAAAGACTGTAAACCTAATTTCGTAACACTGAGGGTTTTATATCCCACGTGTAAATGTCCTTACATCCATTTCATTTAAACTTTGGTGGATAATTGTCTCATTGGAATCATACAATATTTCCTTATTTTTATATTGGCTAATTTGGTACAACTTTTAGGGATTGTTTGAAATCTTAGATGTTTTTCAACTATACCTGCATCCTTTTTGGGCCCAATTTTTGATTCTGTATGTACACGAAACGCACGTCTTAGAAAATTGTAAGGATTATTATATCCTTATGATGAATATTTCGCGTTATTTCTCACTTAAGCATAAATTATAAATTTATTTCAAAATCTATAATCGCATCTCGGTGAATGGTTTCCTGTGTAAGAGGGAACGACGCGTATCTGTTATTGATTATGATTAATTTTAATAAGAAAGGTTGAATTCAATTGTACTTTTACTTTTTTAGTTGACCCATCCAAGATTCGAAATACCAATGATCATATGCAAATGTAATCTTCCCAAGTGCCGAACTGCTGTCTTCCGAAATTGAAGCTGATTTTTTTCAAATCTAAAAAACAGGCTTTCATCGTCCCTGATGAAGGTAAATCCAGAAGAGCGCTTTGGAGGCTTGAAATTTATAACACAATAGAAAACCAAAGGATATGGGGTATCCATCCATGACACAAAATTAGTACATGCACAGTAAAAAACCACCCAAAAAGCAAAGGAACAGCGCTTTTATTACTGTTCTTCATCTGAAAGTCACAATGAGGCCTTCAACACGGAGCAAAAAAACCTC